CAGCTCCCAGCAGATATGAGAGAGGCTGCCCTGTGACTTCCTGTTCCAGATTCGAGTCCGCCTTCTGGGCAGACTTGGCCACCAGTGATTCCAATGGCTCCTCCCCGAGAGGCTGGCAGGGTCGAGCCAGGACAATGCAGGGACGCGCGTTTCCCAGCAACTCTTGGTGTCTCTCCTGGCCCCAGGTGGCCTCTCTCCCTCTCCCTCGCTAGCTTTGGACACACACACCTGACAGCTCCAGGGGCTCAGGTTAATGAACACCTTAATGAGGAGTGATAGAAACAGCTTCATTAGCATATCAGGTGATCACATTAAGGGCTTATAATGGAGCTTTCTTGTTTCAAGCGAGCCCATTTCAGCTCACAAATGCAAAGTTAATGGCATTCTGCAGGGAAGATGCTTGCTCAGTCTCTCAGAGAGACGGGGTCACGGCTGCAGAGATGACAGGGCACCATGCCTGCATGTCTATGCAGAGATCACAGGACACGGCACCAACATGTTGGGCATGGATTACAGAGCACCACGCCTGCATGTCTATGCAGATATGACAGGACATGGCACCTACATGTGTGTGAAGGATCACAGGACACTGCCCATACCTGTATCTGCAGAGATCACAGGGCACCACACCTGCATGTGTGTGCAGGATCACAGGACACTGCCCATACCTGTATCTGCAGAGATCACAGGGCACCACACCTGCATGTGTGTGCAGGATCACAGGACACTGCCCATACCTGTATCTGCAGAGATCACAGGGCACCACACCTGCATGTGTGTGCAGAGATCACAGAACACCATGTCTGCACCTGTGCAGAAATCACAGGACACTACACCTGCACGTGTGTGCAGAGATCACAGGACACCACAACTGCACGTGTATGCAGAGATCACAGGACACCATGCCTGCACGTGTGTGCAGAGATCACAGGACATCACATCTGCACATGTGTGCAGAGATCACATAACACCACATCTGCACCTGTGTGGAAATCACAGGACACTACACCTGCACGTGTGTGCAGAGATCACAGGACACCATGCCTGCACGTATGTGCAGAGATCACAGGACACCACAGCTGCACGTGTGTACAGAGATCACAGGACATCACACCTACACATGTATGCAGAGATCACAGGACACCACGCCCGCACGTGTGTGCAGAGATCATAGGACACCATGCCTGCACATGTGTGCAGAGATCACAGGACACCACACCTGCACGTATGTGCAGAGATCACAGGACACGCCACCTGCATGTGTATGCAGAAATCAGAAGACACCATGCCCCACACATAAGTGTAAGGTCTTCCCTTAGAGCTGGGAAAAAGCAAGCATGGAAGACTTCTCTGCTCACCATAGGTCACAAGAAAGGAACTTCATGGCTCATCCTATTCCTGTCATCAGAACAATCTTCACATTTAACGAAGTCATTTCTCCCCAGTATAAGAGACACAAGGTGTGGCTGTCTGTGGGAGGGGAGTCTAGGCTAATTACACAGGAAAAGGGAATTCGCTTCTGTGCTCCCTCCAAACTCTTCTGCTCTCTTCTGTTCTTTTTCTGTTTTGTTCTGGGCCGCACCCGACAGTGCTCAGGGGCCGCTCCTGGCTCTGCACGCAGGAATCACTCCCGGCAGGCTCAGGGTCCATCCAGAATGCTGGGGATTGAGCCCCGGGTTGACTGCCTGCAAGGCAAAGACCTTACCTGCTGCAGTACATCTCTAGCCCCATATTCTCCGACTACTTTTGTGCAAAAAAGGGAATGTTATTCTCTGGGGAGGGGGAGCTGTGCTTGTCACCTCATCAGGAGGGTGGATGTGCCAGGCAGCCTCTGCCTGCAATCCGGGGCTTCCACAGATGGCTGGATAGTGGTGCCCCCCTCATAGAATGCCACACTCCTAGTTCCCTCCTCGCCAGGTCTCAGGGCTCAGTGAAGGGCCCTGGGAGTCTCCTGGAGTCCGGCCCTCTTAGAGTAAAGACCTGACCACCACGGCAGACCAGGAGCTCTTCTCAAACTTGTGCTCCCTCAAGAAAACAAATTCCACTTCCACTCACTGCTCCCAGTGCACACATACATGGGCACACACACACACATCTGCTTCTGTACACACACATGGTTTCCTTACATACAAGCATGCATGCACATTCACCTGTATGAATGTGCATGAGTGTACTCATGCATATATACCTTGTGCATATATACACACATGCATGTATGTACAAATATGCACACGAATACATACATATGTGCACACATGCACGTGTGCAAGCACATGTTCACCCGTACATGCACTGTGCACCTGTGTGCACATGCTCTCTACAAACATGTTTGCATGTGTACACGGGCATGTACACATGGTATCGGGGACACAGTGGTCCATGCCAGCTGCTGACTGCTTAGATGCTGCTGTCGACAGTGACTCAGCACGGTCACCCTGAGTCTCTCCCTCTCCTAAAAAATGAAATGCGTTCTCTGTGTCCACACTGCAGCCAGGAGCTCTCAGACCATCCAGCATAGTAACTCCCACTCCCCCTTCAGGAAGGAGAAGCAATCCAGATGAGGACACTTGGGCAGTGACCTGGAGTCTGTTCATTCACAGGAAAATTTAGGTTTGACACGCTGACTCCCCACATTCAGCTTGACAAACAGCCCATGGCTACAGATCCTGGGTCTCTGAAGCCTGCAGGTTCCTGGCTCAGGTTAGCAGAACCAGGGTTGGGCTCTCAGACCCCATGGCTGTAGCCTGTGTTTCTACAGGAAAGAAGGGGAGGTCCCCAGCCAGCAGGAGGGTTGACCTGGGTGGGGCGAAGGGGTGGTCGTGGCCTCACCATACTTTAGCACACACTAAATAAAAAGTAAGGTAAGATGCTTTTAGAATCTTCTATGTGAGAACTGAGTTGCTACCAAACATCAACAAGACGACGAGCCAACTACCAAGAGGAAGACATGCAGTGAAGCCTTGAGTTTATGGCTAGAGGGATCAGCACAACCGCCTGGCACCTGCAAACCATGTTCGGTCACCAGCCCACTCAGACTCATGTGCAGACTCATGCACACACACACACCTTCACATGCTGGTGTACACACTCACACCCTCACACTCATGCACACATACTCATATACACTCACGTGCACACTCCCAGATTCACACACTCAAGTCATGCCTGCATACATTCACATATGTTCTCCCATGGACTCATCTATGTGAGTGCTCATGTACTCAAATGTATATGTGCATGATTATTCACGTGTGAACTCGTGTACATAATGCACTCCACATACACACTTGCACAGATAAATATGCACACACCTGCATGCACTCACATCTGTGCACTATGCATATGCGCTATGCACATATTTGCAGGTGCACATACCCATGCCTACACACTCACACATGCACACACCTGCACACACTCATACACTCTGCATGCACACACTTGCACAGATAAACATGCACACACATTCACACAATGCACTCTGCATGCACCATTTGCACAATACTCAAACGTGCACACTCACACACGTGTACTCTGCATGCATGGATGACCATACGAGATCATGTGTCCTCTCAGGACACACGCACATGCTCACATGAAACATTCATACACTGTGTGTACATTTCCACATACATGCACACACCAGAAACCCTGGAGAGAGGCTGGCCCCTCATAGCACCATACTTCAGTACCCTCAACCCAGCAGAGCACGTGGCTGGGCCTGCAGACCCCTGAGCTGCCCAGACCTGCAACTGAGTGCTGTTGACTAGGTACCTCCCACAACAGTCAATTGCCTGCGGCCAAGACAGAGCTTGGACTTCTTGCAGCATGGCAAGAGACCCAGGGCAGAGGGGCTGGTGCGCGTGCACAGGGCATGGCTGCAGCCTCCCAGCCCCCCAGGGGCCAGCACATGAGTGGGGGGCATGGAGGGTAGTGGAAGAGCCCAGGGGCCACCATGTGAGTGGGGGCACGGAGGAAAGCTCCCACATGGCCCAGCTCATGCAGATCCAGCTTCCCCCGCCCCACAAGAGCGTAAGGGGTAGCAGCTCGCCCTTCCCCCACACCCACAGGGGCCACGCCCAGTGGGGGAGCTTTGGGTGCTTCCAGAGGCAGAGTGGCGCTACCCATGCGCTCTGGACAGCAGGTTTTCAGCAGGACGCTCTGCAGGTGAGGTCCCCTCTGGGAGTCCGGGCTTTCCAGCTCGGCTCTTCGAGGCAGCTGGTAACTAGAGAAAGGATCCAACTCACTGCTGAAATGACTGAACCACAGGTTCAAGCACCTGAACCAGACAAACGTGAAATGAAAATGCACCTCAGATGCCCACAGTGGGGACCAATCAGGAAAGGGGGAGCAGAGCTGAACTTTCCCTCAGAAGCTTAAGTAAATGCACATGGACATCTGGAGCCCAGGGAACATGGTGACCGCATCACAATGAACCCAAAGCAGCTTGGTTCAAAGCGCCTCCAATAGCAGATGCCTGGGGTCTCTTCGGAGACCTGACAAAGAGCAAACACACAGGAGTGTCCTGCTCTGAGCTTCTCTGTTCCAACCCTCCACGAGCTGAAGCGGCCACGTCTCTCACATGCTGAGCGCAGGCAAGGGCCACCTGAGCTCGGGAACAGGCCCCAGGCTGTTTCTAACCTCACAGAACAACCCAGCTCGGACACAAGCCGGCTTCCTAGCACCACAGTCAGCACTTAAAGACAGCGGGCCCCACCCAGGGAGGCACCACAGACACCAGGAAACACGGAGCCCCCTTGATTCCACAGATGGAGCAAGGACAGGAAAAAAACCTTCAGACTTCTGACACCTTCAGAAGTAAATTTAGGAACCTCCAAATGTTCTGTTTCTCTACCAGGTATGCCTTCAAAGCTCTGTGAGCCCCAGCACCCATCTGCCTCCCCTCAGACAGAAGCCCTGCTTCTGGGCTCCCCGGCCCCAAACAGGGGCCCGCTCACCTGCACAGAAGGACAAGGAGGAAGCGAGTGGACAGAGTCCCGTACCTTTGAACAGAGTCAGGCCGAGCAAGCTCCCTTTGATCCTAGTCAGCGTCAGTTCCATGGGCCAGGCCCCACCGTCTACGCATGTCCTTGGTGGAGTGCAAAGAAAGAGCTCCACTACTGTCCCCTAAATGATCAACACACAAGAAAACAAACTTACAGCGGTCAGGCAGGCGGACATGGACACATCTGTGTGGGTGGACAGGTCACGGACACACCTGAGGGGTATGAGCTTGGGCCTTGGGCATTCGTTGACAGGCGAGGGCTCCTAGGACCCACCCACTTTCCTGACTGCCCCCCACCTCCCCTCACCCAGCAGCAGGAGACCTGGGTCACATGGGGTCAATGGAATGACAGTACACAAAGCCACTCACTTAGTCAACCATCGTCCAGTGTATTAAGTTTTGAACCTCACTGTAAAAGCAGCAAGCACAGCTGAGACCTGTGTAACGGCATGGACCACCCACAGAGCACACGCAGATGTGCAAGGACCTCTGTGCTCTTGACATATGGCATTAAACACCCACCCTGAATTAATCCAGGTGTAGTGATACAAATTGTGAAGTAGAACTTGTCGTTCTCAAACAGAAACAAGTCCATCGGTGGTCTGCGTGCTCTAAGGGACATGCCTGTCACATCTGCGTTGGCACACAATCACATACAGATGCACACGTGTGTAAATACATGTATCACAAGCCACGGCTACTTATTTCTAGAACAAGGCAGTGCCATGTGGCCACGTGGAGGGCCATGCTGTGTGACATTGTACAATTCTTTGAGTTACCCAAGAACGCTCACCTGCCGCCTTTAGAGAGTTTGGGGTCTGGTCATGACACAGCCACGAGCCTAGTGCAGTCTGAGGGAGCACAGGGCGAAGCTGTGGCTGTGGGGACCCAGTGTAGACGCAACCCCGTGATGGCGGGCTGGGAGCTCTTGGGCCTAGACCCATGGAGGATGGGTGAAATGAGGGCTGCTGGCGTGAGAGATCTGGGCGGAGCCCACACACACTGGCCACGGTGGCAGTGCTGGGGACTGGACTCCTGGGGACGCTGCCCCTCCCCCAGCACATGTGCCAGAGAAGACCCAACATAAGGCGATCCCAGACCTACGGTGACCCTGGCGTCAGCTGTGCTGGCCCGGGCAGAGCCAGTCCCAAGTGCCCCTCGGCCAGGAGAGAAACCACGGCAGTCAAGAGCTCTGTGTGAACTTCACACGTCATGAGCACAAAGGTGGAGAATGTGGTTCTCACCCAACTCTACCCTTGTCTTTAAGCACATATCATGTCCCCAGATCACCGGCACACTCCTACCAAGATGCCTCACAATTGCAGCAGTGTCTGAGCACAAGTGGGAGGAATAAACATGCGTGCTTTCACTTCACGTGTGAGATGAGAGAGGTGCTTGGCACTACATGAGGGTACTGCGAGGGGGCCACAGACCCGAGGGGAGATGAAGAGCTCAGTCCTCAGGTGTGCGCACACGCATGCACAGACATGTGTGCATGCATGCACACACAACCACATGCACACACAACCACATGCACACACAACCACATGTACTCACAACCACATATACACACATTAACATGTACTCACACCCATGAACATACCTTCGCATTACTCCCAACACACATGTACACGCCTTCACGTGTACACTCATTCACCTTCATATATACACTCATATGCACACAGCTTCACATGTACATTCAACACAAATGCACACATTTACATGTACACGTGCAAATACATTCACATACATGTACATACACAACCACATGCACACATGTGCTCACATACATACACATGTGCACACACATGCGTGCACACACATGCACACAATCCCCGCTGTGCATCCACCCCTCCCAGTCTGGACTCGCACAGTCCCCAGGAGAGACGTGAGCATCAGAACTGTCGGAGCTTGATAGGCACCTCTGCAGAGGGTGCCCTGGACACTGGGCACACCGGGATGGAGGAATGGGGAGGTCAGTGATGTGGTGGCCATGAGGACAAACCCCTGGTGGAGCGCAGAGGGGCTCTGCGGTTTGGAGTGGACTCTGCCACCCTCCAGGAAGGGTTGGGAAGAAGGCTTGGGACACACGGGTGGGAGCCATCCCCAAGCACCCTGCAGGAGCAGCCCAGCCTGGGTTCTCTGCAGGTCTTCGGCCAGGTCCTGTCTGCAGGGCACAGGGACGGGGTGGGGGCACACCCAGCACCCTCCAGGCAAGGCGCGGTGGTGATGAAAGCCAGGCTTTGCCCCAAGGCACACACAGCCTCCCACCACTCCTGCGCTGCTTCCCGCACACCAGGTCTGTGAGGGAGCCCACTGGCAGGAGGCTCCGGGATCTGGGAGGAAGGGCGTGTGGGGGAGGGGGGCAGGGGGAGGCTGTGCCCCCACCCAAGGAAGCTGCCCTGTGGGGGGGTGGGGGATGGAGCTGTGAGCCGCCCCCGACACAGCCCGCATCCCCTGGAAATAGCGGGGCCTATTTTGGGAGCATTACTCACCGGAGGAGGAAGACGGGAGTCGGACGCGGATGGGAGTGCAGGGTGCTGGCTGCCAGCGCCGCTTCTAATCTGGGACCCCCAAGCCCCAGGAGAGGCCCCGGGAACTTCACACAGGGTGCCCAAGGGCAGCCCAGCCCAGGGAGAAGGCGTGAGCAGAACTGCACAGACAACGAGGTCTCTGCAGGACGGGCCAGTGCCTCATCCTCTCTGCACTGGGCCCTTCGTCCCCCTCCCCTGGCAAGTCTCTATCTCCGCCGTGACAACCAGGGGAGCACACGGGGAGCACGGCCTGAGCACCCCAGTCGAGGTCAGCAGGGAGGGCACTCGCCTTGCTGGCAGCTGCCCTGGGTTCTATCCCCGTCATTCATATGATCTCCTGAGCCCATCAGAAGTGACCCCCAAGCACAGAGTCAGGAGTAAGCCCTGAGCATCACTGGGCGTAGCCCCCAAACAGACACGCTGTGCTGGGAGGGAGCTGGGCACTCGGTCTCAGGGGGACCCCCGCCGGGGGAGCCTCAGAGTATGGACACACCTTGTGGCACCGAGGAAGCAGCAGGTGGGGGCAAAGGGGACACAGCTCCGGAGACCTGCTGTCGGGACCCGCTGCCCAGGATTCCAGCCTTTTCCTGCCAGATCCCAAGTCACGGCTGAGCACGAAGATCAGAGGGTGGCAACTCTTTGGATTTGGAATAGCTTGTAACACCGCTGGGAACTTCTGGCCTGAAAGGGCATTTTTTTCTGTTTGCAACGGAGACCTCCACAAACTCTTGGCGTCCCTCCCCGAAGGTCCCTGCGCCTGCCAAGCCCCCCAGCCAGACTGCTGTCCTGTCCGCCCCTTCCCCACAGACTCAGCCAGGATCTGAGGGCTGGGAGTTGCCTAGCAACCCGCCCACACAGCAGTGCAGATCCGCTCCCTAAATACCCTGCTGCACTGAGGATCTGGGGAAAGTTCCGCTGAGCAGTCTGAGAGTTTCCTAGGGCTGCGGCCCCCTCCACGCGCTCTGCTCCGGACACAGCTGGGCAGGGCTGGGAAGCCCGTCCTCGACACCCGCCCCTCCCCCACCTGCTACTCACCTGCCCCTCCCCCTCCCCCACCACTCACCCACTCACATGTCCACTCACTTACCCTCTCACATGTCCACTCACTCCCCTTACTCACTCACATGTCCACTCACTCACCCTCTCACATGTCCACTCACTCCCCTGCCCACTCACATGTCCACTCACCCACTTACTCACATGTCCACCCACTCACCTCTCACCTACCCACTCACATGTCCACTCACTCCCCTTACTCACTCACATGTCCACTCACTCACCCTCTCACATGTCCACTCACTCCCCTGCCCACTCACATGTCCACTCACTCACCATCTCACATGTCCACTCACTCCCCTGCCCACTCACATGTCCACTCACCCATTTACTCACATGTCCACCCACTCACCTACCCACTCACATGTCCACTCACTCACCCTCTCACATGTCCACTCACTCCCCTTACTCACTCACATGTCCACTCACTCACCCTCTCACATGTCCACTCACTCCCCTGCCCACTCACATGTCCACTCACCCACTTACTCACATGTCCACCCACTTACCTACCCACTCACATGTCCACTCACTCACCCTCTCACATGTCCACTCACTCCCCTTACTCACTCACATGTCCACTCACTCACCCTCTCACATGTCCACTCACTCCCCTGCCCACTCACATGTCCACTCACCCACTTACTCACATGTCCACCCACTTACCTACCCACTCACATGTCCACTCACTCACCCTCTCACATGTCCATTCACTCCCCTTACTCACATGTCCACTCACCTACCCACTCACATGTCCACTCACTCACCCTCTCACATGTCCACTCACTCCCCTGCCCACTCACATGTCCACTCACTCCCCTTACTCACTCACATGTCCACTCACTCACCCTCTCACATGTCCACTCACTCCCCTTACTCACATGTCCACTCACCTACCCACTCACATGTCCACTCAATCCCCTATTCACTCACATGTCCGCTCACTCCCCTTACTCACTCACATGTCCACTCACCTACCCACTCACATGTCCACTCACTCACCCTCTCACATGTCCACTCACTCCCCTGCCCACTCACATGTCCACTCACTCACCCTCTCACATGTCCACTCACTCCCCTACCCACTCAAATGTCCACTCACCTACCCACTCACATGTCCACTCACTTACCCTCTCACATGTCCACTCACTTCCCTGCCCACTCACATGTCCACTCACCCACTTACTCACACGTCCACCCACTCACCTACTCACTCACATGTCCACTCACCTACCCACTCACATGTCCACTCACTCACCCTCTCACATGTCCACTCACTCCCCTACCCACTCAAATGTCCACTCACCTACCCACTCACATGTCCACTAACCCTCTCACATGTCCACTCACTCCCCTACCCTCTCACATGTCCACTCACCCACTTACTCACACGTCCACCCACTCACCTACCCACTCACATGTCCACTCACTCACCTTCTCACTCACATGTCCACTCATTCTCATACCCATTCACTCACCTACTTCCGTGTCCACTCACCCCATCCCCCACTGCAATTTACCTACTCCGTTCA